TGAGGGTGTCTTCAATTCCACCCTACTAAAATATTTTGTTTTCTTTCTCTCAACAAGTCACTTTCCTTTTGGGATTCAGTCCTCATTCATTCTTCAGTATGATCAAACTATCTCAACATAGATTTTTTGTACTGGTAACTCACTTTTGTATTTAATCAACATACGTTCATCCTCCTTTCATCCTTGATTATATCTCTAGCTTTACAATGTAAACTCCTTAAGTAACCCATTCCCACTACACTTATTTTTATATCCAACTTTCACTTCCATATAACCAAAATCATACTTTTATATGTGGCTCGTTTTTGCTACTTTTGACAAACATCCATCCGTTGCAACAAACTATATTCTTTTCACTACATTTCTACCAGGATTTTCCTATATTAGAATTTTTCCATTTATTTTTGCCATCTTTAATAAACATCCTAGCAAAGTACACAATTTTTTCTACTTATTCTAAGGTGGGTTTTTTGCTATTTATGTGAAAAGATTTCCTTCACTCTATTGTCCCAGTCAGACATGGCTAACTTGGTCTTTAATGTATTAATTTTCAGATTCATGCTCCTCCTTGCATCATATAATCTAGCATTTCCTGCAAATCATAGAGATTCGTACCACAAAACATGGCATCCCATGCATTCTAACGTACACATCCATTCATGTTCCCGACCAACACACATCTTAATATCATCAAAAGTATTTACCCATAAAGACATTAAATAAGCCAGGTGACAGCACACATTCTTGACTGTCTCCTTGCTCAGTGCTGAGTCATTTGCTAAGCACTCTATTTATTCTTGGGTGTGCTTTATTTTCATCATACACTTCTCTTATTACATTCATTCACCAATCTTCCAATCTCTATTCACACAAAATGCTCTATCATTCAAACCAATCACACACTTTTTCTAAACTAGCAAATGTACAATAAACGTTCTTCTTCACGTTCAAGTTAATATTTTATCTAATTATCTTTTTTATTATTTTCATTTTATACACGTTGGATGTGCTTCAATGGAACGGCAAATTACAATAGAATGAGTCTGTGTGTGTGTGTATCTCAATAGTGTGGTTAAGAAATAT